TATATTTTTAATAAAAAAATTATTTTTTATTCTTTAATCAATGTCTTAAGAGTACTAGTTAGTATTTTTTATATTAATTATTACAAAGTTAAAAAAAATTATTAATGAAAGGCAATATGTACAAAATATAAATGCTCTTAAACATTTGTAAAGAGACTTATTAAAATGAATAAATAATTCTTATAAAAAAATAAAAGAGAGTATTTTATATTAGCTAGATCTAGATAGTGCATAAACCAAATTTTTTTTTTCTCGCATTAGTTTTGTCTTTCTTTCATAGTTTTACCGGAAAATAAAAATATTAAGTATATTTTTAGTCAATAAATTTTTTTATTTTAATTCTTAATTAAATTTTTTTTATTTTTAGTTCCTAAAAAATGCAGAAGTTATGTTTTTCAATCTCTGATGAGGAGCTAAAAATGCACTACTTTTTTAAATATAAGGACTAGGAAAAATAAAGACTTATGGTTAATAGAGTTAAGTAAGCCTTGGGATCCAAAGAAGATAAGCCCAAATGGAGTGAAGAAGGTATGGGCTAAATGAGCTGCAGCTACTCCAAAATTTTGCATATGATTGGCCAAACTTATGACGGGCCAAGTCTATTCATGCTCACTGGCCCTTGATATCCAAACATAAACCCTAAACCCAAAGAAGGCGGGTAAAGTTAAAAAAGGGCCTAATATGTGATTTGCAGGATAGCCCAAAATAATAGGCCCGGCCCGTCTGACAGCCCTAGCTGATATAAACCAACCTAAAATTTGGCCCAAAAAACCTTGAGTATAATAGATAAAGCTACAGAAGTAGATATCTTTTGATTTTGTCAGTGGAAATTAGTTTTGTCTATATGTCCTTTCATTATACTTTTTGGTCCAACATGGTTTTACATTTGTTTTTGTCAACAACTGGGTTTAGTTAAAAGACCAAAAACCATGTTTCAATTTCCAAAGTTTGTTTTATTTTGTTTGCGGAGCCCAGCCCATTCAGTCCTAGCACCAAACAATGGAGACTATGTCAGGGAAAAATTCACTAACGTAACGTCTATCAACTCATCAATTTCAAAGTATATATAAACAATCTAAAACACTAAAGCAAATTTTGTATAATCAGGTTTTTCCCACCGTTTTCTTTCAGTGTATTAAGAAAGAGAGGTATAATACACGTGGTTTCGAGAATCGAGGAATGATAGTATCATTATCTCTATATTGGTTAAAATTTATTAAAGATTAAAAAAATATTAATTTAAAAATAAAAAAAGTAAAAAAAAAACACAATTTTTTTAGTTTTTAATAAGCTTTATTTAATAATATAGAATATGTTACTAGCATTACTCTTCAAAAATATAATTAAAATAAAAAAAATTTCATTGACATCATTATTAATTTTTTTAAAAATACTAGTAACATTTTTTAAAATACTCTTAATTATTGATTAAAATTAATAAAAATTATTTAAATTTTATTTTTTAAATTAAAATTTATTTTTTATCTTGTATTTTTGTAATTTTTAATAAAATTTAGCTGGGAGTCAAAGAGTGTTTTGTTGCTGGTATTCCTCTCAATTTTACAGATAAAACTAGTGTTGGTTAGATGGCTTTTCTTGAGATATTTATACACTCATTTTCATCACTCTTATGCTGTGCATTTTATATAGTAGTATCCTTGGTCTCTTGGACTAACGAATCAATGCAGTAATTCTCAGATCTTAATATGTACATTAAAAAAAAACATTTTTACACTTCATGATATCATTCTTACACTATTTTATTATGTAAAAAGTATATAATCTTAATCTTTATACAAAAAAAGGTTCCTTGTTATTCGTTCAACAAGTACTATAAAAATGCAAGAAAACTGTTTATTTATTTAAAAACTTGGCAATAAGTGCTTGTTTGTTTATATTCAAAATCTTCTAAAACTATTTCTTAGGTGAAAATCAATATTCGTGGAATATTTATTTATTTATTTAATATTTTAAAAGTGATTCCTACTTAATAAATTTACCAACTATCAATAGAAGTTATTCCTACCTAATTGGTTGTTCGTGAGGAACCTATAACCCATCTTACATCACACTTGGATTAAATCAAACTTTTTTTAAAGGGTTAGTCAAACTAATTTAATATATAAACCAAGTTTTAAGAGCTCACAGTTTCTAAAAATCTTTTCAACTATTCTTTAAAATATTCAATCAAACTCACTGTAAAATCATTAGATGATAGTGTTTTTCAGAATCAATATGAATACAAATATTGCAAAGGTATGATTTTTTTTAGCTTCTGCATGCCCTTGCACTGGTTTGACCAAATGTTCTATGAATGGATATACCATCATATTCTGTATCAGTAGTCTCCTTTTGAAAAATGATTACTATATTAGAAAATATTAGTTTTTTTCCTGTCTTAAAATGGTGCTTTGAACAAAAATGGATTGCTGGAAACTAAAAAGGAGACATGTTTCTGGAAGGATTCCTATGTGTAAAGTAAAGGTGTGTGGCACAAAATGGTTGAATTTGACTCAATCGAGGTTTGGTGAGACTGAGGATTTGATTCGTGGAATAACCGATAATGAATGTAAAAAATATTAGAGGTGATTAATTAAGATGATACATGACCAAAGTCAGAAAGTCATTTTCAAACTTACCCCTATATCATATATAGTGTAGCTAATTTTATTTTATTTTTATTCTTTGTCAAAAGGACATATTAGAGTTCCACGCTGCAACACTTTTTTTTTTTTTAATTCTTGCAAATCGATTTTATATATATAAGAGGGTTATTTTGATTTGACACGATTCCATTTGAATGGCATGAGAACCTTTTAAATGTATTTTTCTCTCTCTTTCACCCTTACAACTCTTTGGATAATTATATTTTAAGTTCCTTTAACTATAATTTTAATTTAAATATAAATTTAAATGTTTTTATCTTTATATTTTATTAAAATTTTTGTTTTAATCTTTTAAATAATTTTTTTAACTTTTTTAAATTATTTTTAGTCCTTAACAGTCGTGTGATCAAACAAAAAATTGACACATTAGTATCTCAAGAGATCATATTAATATTTAAAATCAAAAATAAAAATTTATAAAAAAAACTAATAAAAAAACATTTAAAAGAACTAAAACTAAAAATTCATTAAAATATGAGGAATAAAGAACATATTATATCTAATTTGTTATTTGCACCGTATGTTAAATATAAATTAAAATTAAATCATATCTTACTTTTATCTTCTTTTTATAAATCTGTTTTGTGTCATATCTTTTCTTATCCGAGAGTTGAAATTGAAAAACAAAAGCTAGAATTTGAGCATGGAAAGATTCATGAATTGAAAATAGAGAAACTACAATTAAAGTGAAATTTGAGATTGGAAGAGAAATTAGACATACACTTGAATATCAACAAATGTTGTCTTTTAAAGTATTAATTAGACTTACATTGCCTTAAGTACAAGTTGTATACATATCGCTGCTCACCCCCTAAAACAATTGTATAAACTCCTTATTTATAAACAAATTTTATGATGATCAATTTCTACTTGTGCAACACATGCTTGACAGTTACTTAATTTTTACCTTGAACGCTTGATATCTATATATTTACAAGGTTTAAATGATATTTTTTTACAACTTTCTATAGTAACTCTGAAATAATAATTTATAGGTCCTCTTTTCTCAGGTCTTATTTCTATAGAATATCAAATCTTTGTTGATGAATCGTTTCAATCTTTTTATATAATTTTTGACTGATTTAAAATTTCAAGTAAATTTTAGTAGACTTTGCTAAATTTTTTAAAGAATTTCTTCAATGCAGTAATTCTCTTGTTTCCTCAATTTTTCTTCTTGAGCACTTTTAGAGTGCAGTTGAAATGATTCATTTTGTTAACTCCGTTCAATTAATTTTAATGTTTCCTTTTCAATTATCTTTCAGTGTCGTTTTCTCGAATACTTTTTGATAGAACCAATTAAACTCAAATACTTTACAATTTTTATACTTCAAAATTTTCAATCAACATCAAGTTTTAATTATTTTTAACAAAAAATAAACTATTAATACATGCTTATGTATTTATATTAAATTTAGAGACTTATATTATTTAATAACTTTTATATAATGTGATATTAATCGATTCAAATATTAATTCAAAATTTTTTATAACTAGATCAATTTGATAAAATTTTATATAAAAATAAAAAAAATACTTACAATATCTAAATTAAATGAAATTTGATATTTATGATATAAAAATAATATAAAATTATTTAATAATTGAATTGATTAATGTTATAATTTATAAAATCTATTAAATGATATAAGTGTTTATATTAAACACCTGATGTTAATAATATGATACATACATATATATATATATATATATATTATATAAAAAAGATATATTAGAAAATATTATCATAATATTTATTTTTATTTGTTTATAAATGATAATTTTTTTGAAATGGTAATATTTTAACACTTCACCAATGAATATGACTTGAATGTAAGAAAGAGAGAGAGAGAGAGAAAAATTTGAGAGATGTGATACAAGAGAGAAAAATAAAGAGCAGCTAAAATTAGATATAAAAAGAATGTGTAAATATCATTAATGAAACTTTTGTAATGAGGAATGTAATTTGATTAAAAATCAAGAGGAATTTCAACATGACCAGTCCAAAAGTAAAGATGTGACAATTATCACCATTTATTTTTTTTATTCCCTCATTTAAGGATTCCATCGATTGCAGGAGAACATGGACATTTAATTGCAACTGCAGTGGTTCATATATAATTTTTTTCTTTTAATGGCTTTTGTTTATACAATTGGACTCTTTATTCTTCTCTCTCATTAATCCATTCCCAAAACAACGGAAGAAAATCGACAAGAGAGATGATGAAAAGTGATCGAGGATTCCGAATGCCAAGAAATTTATCCAAGTCATGAAAGAATTAAAGTTAAAAGTAATAATGAACCAAAAATTCAACACCATGAACTAACAATAACTAGCTAGCAGAAGACTTCAGAAGAAGTCAAGCTAAGAAGTTGTTCAAGATATTCAGAACCCAAATCTTCCAAAACCAGCACATTTTGGGAAACCAAATCTAACTCCTTCTCACCCCTTTTAGTCTTTTTGTTACTTGCCTTGGATTTTCTTCTCATGGTGTGTTTCCTCTTGAGTGCTAACACAGGAGAGGAATCATCTTCCGATGGTTTATTGGCCATGTCTTTTAGTGATTCTCTCACCACTTCCTCAGGAAAGTTCAGCACTGCCATGGACCCTCTTGTGGATAAAGCTGCTTGGTCATAAGCTAGTGCTGCTGCTTCAGCTGTGTCAAAGGTTCCAATCCACACTCGAACCCCATTTCTTGTTGAGTCTCTTATTTCTGCGGCGAATTTCCCCCATGGCCTTCTCCTCACACCTCTGAAGGGTCTTTTCTCCTTTTGTGGAGACGGTGATGCTTGTGTTCCCTTGATGACTTGGGCATGCGTTAAATTTGAAGACACTTCTTGTGACTCAGTGCTTACCAAAGAGCCTGAAGAGTTGGATTCTGAGGATGATTCCTTGATCTGTGAGTGGTCATTGCTGGTTAAGTTTAAGGGAAGGGTAGTGTTGTTATCTTCTTTCAAGAAAAAGAAGTCATCCACCCACGAGAATGATTCTCCAGACACAAAGGGAGTGTTGAGGTATTGGTATTCAAAGAAAGATGAATCGAACTCCATGTCTTCAATCTAAATGCAGACACCAAATTCAGCTGTTTTGGTTTTACTACTTTCTTTTTTCCTTTTGTGTGTGTCTTTGGTATAACCACTTTTGTTGGCTTTGAACACAGATTTGGGTGCTTGGCTCCTTTATATATATACCCACTGAAACGAAGGAAAGCGAGCATTAAAAGATTGATAGATTATAGATAACTCAATTGAATTAAATAAATGAATAAATTAGTTATCATATAATGGTGAAGTTGGAATTACTGGTCAAGGAGGATGTCTTCGGAGAATCGGATATCTACTTTTATTATTATATTGTACTGCTCATGAGTGGACCTCTTGCCTAAATATTTAAGGAAATGTTAACGTCTTAAGCCTATTTTTTAATTATTTAACAAGTTTTTTTTAAAGATATGTTAATAAAATCTTACTTTAAATGTGATAATAATAAATACTTATTAACAGAATTAATATTTATAAGTTTTTTAATTATATTTTGTATTGGCACAAAAAAACTTAATTTTTTGAGTTAATATAACTTTTTATATATATAATTTTAAATTTTATTACAATAGCTAAGTCTTATTTTATTAAAAATGGTTTGCTACGTACATTATACGATATCATTCATCTTACCAAAAAATTAAATTTTTTGAGATATTCTTTATTATTAAATTCCTTTAATTTTAATATATTCTTAAAACTTTTATCTTTTTATTTATTTTTATTAAAATAAAAATTAGATCATTTACCCTTCTTATTAATATTTTTAGTGATACTCTTTGTGTTCAAATTATCTTAATTAACTTTTTATTACCTTTTTTTCATAATAAGTGTTATTTCAAATTCTACCCATCAATACCAAAAAATCTTTTTTGAATTTGTTCAAAATTTTTAAAAATCAGTTTCAATCGTTTTTTCCTTTCATTCATCTGCGTATACTTATTTTGCAGTTTAATAAATACGGATAAGATTTTTTTACACTAATATAAATTTAAAAATTTTTACATTTAATTTAAGTCTTTCATTTAACTTATATTTAACATATTATAATTTATTATTTTACTACCTGTTAGATATAAATTATATAATATAAATAATTTTTAATATCTTTCTCTATTTTAATTATTTAACTTATATTTTATTAATAATATTTTCATTAATTTATCTATTATTTTATAAAATCTTTAAAAAATTATTATATATATATTACTTTGAGTGAATTTTGTATTACCAGGTATAGAAAATTTTGAATGCTTTTTATACTTATTATATATTTTTTTTATAAAATAAGCAGAAGATAAGTAAAAAAGAGTAAATAAGAAATATAAATATAGCATGGGTCTTAAAAAAGAAGGTTGTATTATTATTTTAGGTTATTAGTATCGACACGTGAGTCAAAGAAAAATTAAAAAACGTGGGCAACTCGGAAAGGGGAAGGTTTGGACCAACAAGTTATTGGCTACAGACGCAACGCAAGTGCTGAATTCATTCATAGGAATCCAATTATGGAAGAAACCCTTAGCATTAGCAATGACTCTCTGTTTATGTCACTTGTCACTCTCATACCCTTTCTCTTTCTCTTCCCTCCTTTGTCGCATGTTACACCACTCACTCCAATCTCAGCATTTTCGACAGATACCTGCTTATATAACATCTATGCACACCATTATTACGGTATCTGTTTTCCTAGCATCTCTGTCCGCAAATAATTCTAATTTATGTACATTTTTATTCGAAACTATATAATATTATAAAATTTTATTAACTATAGAATATTATTAATTTTATTAAACACAAGTTAAAAATTAGTTACATAATATTATCTTCTCCAAAAGTTATCACATCTCTAATATTACGTTATGACGATATGACATTACAGGAGTTGGAGTGCAATGGTGTGTCTCTGAGTGCAATGGTGTGTCTCTGAGAGTTCCTTTCGTTCCAAGAACCTGCCTCTGTCTCATCCAAGTTAGTAAATTCCCTCTCCAAAACTTGTGGGGCCCAATAACACATGCCACGTCACGTCAGCCGCCGGCGTGCCCTGTTTTGCCCGTAATATCCAGGGCATACGATACAAGCTTTTTTATTTATTTTTATCCTATTAACTATTTCAATATTTTCTATAAATAACACTTATTGCAAATATAATATTAGTTACTTACACAGTCTCCTGTTAACCATTGTTGAATTTCAATATTTTATTTACATTATATATAGAGACAAAAAATTACTTAAATAATTTATTACTGTAAAAAAATAATAAAAAATAAATTGTTAGGTTTTATTTAAAATAATTTTTATAATATCTTATAAATTAAGATGACATTTTATACCTTTTTACATGTGAAGCAATTATTATAGTTAATTTTATATTAAATATGTATAATTGGTAATAAAACTTAATGGTCTATTTAAAAAATACAAAAAAATTTTAATATATCAGAGAAATATAATTTCTTTTGATTTAAACTTTGAAAAGCAGTATGAAAAAAGATGAGAATGATTCTGAAAATGGGGATGAATGATTGAAAGATATATATTATATTGGGGATATATGAACAAGTTGCAATAAAGCATTATGCCACTTGCATGATATTAAATGTATGGAAATGAGTAATAAAGGAAGAAGGTACATGCATCCATGCATCTCTGATCTCTACAACTTGCATTGTCCCAACCAACGGCTTATTTGACATTTGGCTTCTATGATAAGTACTCATTGTTTATCATTTTAAAATTGCTTAAGACAAGAATCGTCTACACTCAACTTCAAAATTCAAAGTCAAGAGGAATAACATATAGAAGCCTTTGTTGAACATATTACCTTTCTTGCATTATTTGAGAAGGGTGTATAAACAATCATTCTCATTTTTCAGAATCTCCTTCCAAATATATTCTAACTTTTAATTCATTAAACATTTTTAACAAAGCTTCTAGCAGTAAAAACAATAGTTAAAAAGTAATCAATATATTAAAACATATTTTTAATGTTACAATAGACCAAATAAGTTTCATTTAATCTGATTCTAAAATTTACTTTTCAACAAAATCTTGAATCCTAAATTAAAATACTATAACGTATAATAGAATCAATATTAAAAACAAAATAAAATCATCAATATTTATAAAAATGATAACTATATATAAATCATAAAAATATTTTAGAATAAAATTTTATATTCAATTCAAAAAAGAGTTTAGTCGCCTATAACGTCTATTGTAATAAGAGAAAAAAATAAAGAAAAATTCTTCAATTTCTAATGACTCCAAGGTATGTCTTACTATTTTTGTCTTCTTTTTTTACTTCTACACCTAACACAAGCCAAAAGAAAGCATTATCGTTTGAGTGAAAATAAGATAGAAACTCAAGTCTAATATACATTTTTTTTCTTAAGCAAAAAATTATTGTTTGAACAAAAAAGAATTTGAGTTAATTTTTTTATTTATCTTTTGTCTTCATTTTCATTGAGCTCATGTGAATCAATAAATTTGAAAAAAAAAATTAAAACAAACATTAATCTTAATTTCTATCAAACAAGTTACTTAAATTCAAATTTTTTTAATTAAAAAAAATTGAAATCTAAATTTAACTCATGAAAGTAATTAGATACTCAAATTCATGCAAAACTTTACTAAAACTTAACACTAACCAATTACATAACTTTAAATTTACTTTTAAATAAAATTAGTTAGGTTTTTAAAAATCATTAATATATAAAAATATCACTGTTTCTTTTTATTTTGGTTCTTATAAAAAAAATTCAATTTTTATCTATACATTTGACAAAAACGCATATATATATATATATTTATTTATTTATTTATTTCTTTTAGAGATTAATAATAAATAAATTTTTTATAGGAACTAAAATAAAAATATGATATTTTTAAAATTTAATTTTTTAAGTAAACAAAAATAATTCTATAAAAATTCGTTCATATTCAAGTTTAAAAACGCTGCTCCAAAGAGACAAATAGTTAATATTATGATAAACTTCATATGCCATATCTGCCGAATATTCAATATTTATATTATATATATGCAATTGCTATATAATATAAGTTAGTATTTAAAAAATTTTATTAAATGAATAACTATCCACGTAATCTAAATAATAATTGGATAATATATGTGAAGTGAAGCAGAGATGGTATTGAATACTTAAAAGATAAAATAATGAAACAGGTGTTTATTAATAAAAAGAAAATGCAAACAAATCAGCATACAACGTGAGACTTAAATATATTTGTCTTTTAACTTATTTCGGCAACTTTACTCATAATATGACAAGTTTCCACCTAATGTCATGAATTCAATAATTGATTAGTGTGGTGGGAGGCACCGCAAGACTTTATTACAGGTTAATTGATAACATTTTCTAGTTTTTTTAAATTATTTAAAAAAATGTCTATCATATGAATATGAAAGGGACAGATTGAATAAATTTTGAATCAAATCATAATTAACAGAAAAAAAAAACCATTAACCAATTTTAATCCATTAAAAAATTAAATATATCTGTAACCTATTTAATAAAAGTATATCTAACCTATTCATTAACCATTTTTGTACATAGAAACTCAACCATCAATTTAAATATATTGTATTTTATTTTATTTTAATAAAAATTTAATATTTATATATATTCATTGCTACAGAGTTTAGCATCTATCCTTTTAAAAATCTATGTGCAACTAGTAGATTTTGAACTACTTTATGTAATATATTATAAAATATTGTAAAATAATGATCTAATCCAACAATCCTTTAATTTGTATTTTTATAATTGAATAAATTAATTAAATTTATGCATGGATAAATTGCATGATTAATGAATAAATGAATTAAATTATCATCTTTAATCTTGCTAATCTCCATCAAATTTGTCTAATTATAACATGGTATATATGATACGTTAATAGTGTGTTTAACAGAATATTTCAACTAATCGAAAGTTTATTTTGCCAATTAAAAAGTTTGTATAATAAAAATACCTCAATTTGGTAAT